TTTGATAACTTCGTTTTCAAATTTCTTGCTTTATAGAAATTTTGTAAGGATTTCCTAGTCTAGCTCTGCAATTTTTTGACGATTCCCCAAAACAACATGTACCCTAACATTATAATAATTTAGTATGATGTCCTTTTTATTGAACATTTCAGCCTTTTAATTTTTTTGATTTTTATCTTTAAATTATTCAGTTGCTGACAATACTTATCCCCAGTTATCATCCTGTTTAGGAATGGCTCGGTTCTTTTTTGAGCAATAAGAGATGTGCATATGACGACTCACTCATCTAAACTTTTCTGACTTTGTTCATGTGGCACCCATCTTGAATATTTCCATACTAATCCTATCTTTCAAATATGGTACAAAATAGTTTTCTAAGCTGGTTTAATGTTTCTTTCTTTAGACTTTTATAGCATTTCTTCCTTATTAGAATTCATATAAAATACAATGAGGTAAATGAACTTTATCATTTATATATTATTTATAACTTTTTGCTGCTTTCCCCTCAAAACAAAATTGAATTAAAAGTTAAAGAAAGCATTCATATAGGATGGGAAAAACCAATATTAATAAACAAGTAAACCATGTTAAAATGACTCTTATAATTTAATATGATTTACCGGTTTCTTTTGTTATATTTGACATTTGTTAAAATATTTTTTAATAAATCTTTTTGTATATATAGGAAGTTTGTTTACAATTTTATGGCTTTTATTATGTTTATTTTTACGGTTATACACTATATTTTATACCATTTTTAACAAATATATTTTAACTGATAATGACTATATATAGTCGAAACATGTCTTCATAAATAAAATGATTTTAAATAAAGTTTAAAAATTTGTCTTATTTTTAAAAGTAATATATTTATTAGGGTGTTTTTTTTTTTTTTTTTTTTTTTTGAATTTGATATCGCACACCCTCTTATTTGGTGAGGTTCAATAAAAAAGTTCACTGATAAAAATTTTTTCTAAACTGATGATGGGAAGTGGTCCCCCACACCAGCTTTGTAAGCCCTTCAGAACCCTGTTTTTGACCAAAATGACATATTTCTAAAATGTATTAAAATCAATAAGTATCAGTGTTACATGCATCAGTTTCACTTATTAGGGTTAAAAAAATTATAAGATTGTATATAGCAATTACCTATTCCCAGACTCCACCCTAGGAACGCAAGGTCCCAGACCTGTTTTCAAAGCTCTTTTGAGATCCATTTTTGTCTAAAATAATATATTTCTGAAATCTATTAAAATCAGCTTGTATTAGTGTTACATGCATCAGTTGTACTTATTAGAGTGATAACAATAAAAAGAATGTATCTAGCAGTGACAAATTCCCAGACCCCACCCTCAGGGCACAAGGACCCGGACATGTTTTTTAGGCCCTTTGAGACCCGTTTTTGTTGAAAATGATAATTTTCTAAAACGCATTAGAATAAACTATTGTCAGTGCTACATGCAAGAATTTTACTTATTAGGGTGAAGACAAATGTATGAATGTATGTAGCAGAGGTAACTTGGGGCAAGGGGAATGGGGGTAAAAATACAAAAAGCTGTTATAACATCTTAAAAAAGATTCTTATTTTTTAACATTTCTTCAATTTTTTAAATTGTGAGTACTAGTGGCCCATATGCCCCTCTACCAGTCATTTCTAATTCAGCCCTAATTTATAAATTAAAAAATAACAAAAAATAATTTACTCAAACAAAAATTTTAAAAGAATGAAAAATATGATTTTATGCGATCAAGAAAACATATTACAAATAACAACATTGAAAATTATTCTAATAAAATAACATACATAGTTTAATCAAACCATGACATATTACTAAATTAAAATACTACAGAAAAACAATAGCCATATATGTACTTAACTATATATTTAGTTCATATTATATGTATGCATATTTGAATAGATTAAATTGCTGTTATTTAGAATGATTATGGCTTAACTGCCTCTTTGAAGCTTCAGTTGATATTTTTTTCTATGATACTCAACTACTTGGTAAAGAAGCTGACGCTGATTGTCATTTTTTGTCAAAACTTCATTAAAGTCAGTGGCTAATTTAACTGCCCATTCTGCACAGTCATTAATCACTTTCATGGCACGAACAATCTTACAAGCAGCCTTGTAGTCATCACGATTTGCCCAAGATTTAGGAGACGATGTCAAGAATTCTTTTGGTAGATTGAGAGAGTCAAACAAATTCATTGAGCGTCGTGTAACAAAGTGCTAACTTTGTTACATGACGATATAGAAGTTTAGAGAATGTATAAATCTTGTTTGAAGCAAGTCTTCTATTGTCACCTGGTAATGGTTCTTTTTGTAAGGCATTTACAATTTCCATTTTCTCTTCAAAAGAAATTTCTTCACTGAATAATAGGAGAGCAGCTAGATCTTCACTTAAATATCATAATTGAAATTTAATTTTATTTTTTGCAACATTTGCAACTTTGCTGTCAATTTGACAATAGTTTTTGATTACTTTTAAAAGAAGGAGATCATTTTTTGGTGCTTCTGTTGTGAGAGGTGCTGAAAACCAAAAACATACTTAAATTGTGGTTAGGAAGAGACAAATTTTTCTTAAAATCCCGATTTCTTTATTTGTGACATTTAATTGATGGCGAAAACAAAAATTTTTAAACAGTATATTCCTTTAGCCATCCATCTTGCACGATTGTAAGCCCCAGGAGTGCGAATACTTGTTGTATCATTAATTTCTCCCAACAGGAGAAGAGCTAGTTGCCCAAACTCTTTATAATCATCACATAGTTGAGTGTCCTTTAAGTTTTTTTTTTTTAATTTTCACCACATCGGATTTTCGAGATGCAAGCCACTCTTTTTCAAGCTTTGTAAGGCATCCAGTTCCGCTTGTACCACTTTCAAGTGGTTCAAACTTTGATTTTTCTATTAACTCCCACTGGGACTTCACTCTACCAAAGAGTTCAATGTTTGGTCCTTTTGATACAAAAAACGTATCAAACACTGCATTTGCACAGATTTCAGGAATATGATGTCGACAGGCTAAAAACAAAACTCTTCGGTTCATTGACTTCTGTATGACAGTTATTGCCCCATTATAACTTCCTGTATTACTTGCAGTTGTGTTAAAGCAAAGACCTGCAAGATGCTCCTTGACGCCAGGTCATTCATGAATGAACTCAACTACCTTCTGTCCCATCAGAGCACCAGTACCAGCAGGTATTTCAGGGATCCCTAATAATTTCTCAATATCCAAGCCAGATACAACAATTGGCAGACATTCACGTCTGGTTCTATCAACATATGACAACATTTTACCATTAAAATGAGCAACTAGCGGAACCAAGGGTTGAAAATCTTTTCTTACTGCTGTTGAAAAAGATTCGCGAGATGTAGTTCGAGCTTCTATTAGAGTGGAACGTGATAATGTTAATTTATTTACATCAATACCGATTGCAGCTAGGGCTGGTGTGACAACCATCATTGCTTGTCGTGGTGTTATTTTTGTTCGGTCTAATGCTGCATGAAAGAGTTGATTATCAAGAATACAACGTTTGGATACTGTAATTGAGAGTTGACTAGTACCCATAGTAGAATGTTTTGAAATTTTTCGACGATTAAAAACTTTTTGTATTTGAATTGACGCACCACAGTCAGAATTTTCATCCAAAGAGTAATCTGAATTGTCATCCATAAATGTTTCTGTAGATTTAACTTTACTTTCTTTATATTGTTCATAGCGTCTTTTTTCTTTAAGCTTGCATTTTCTGTACTTTACAACTGCTTTCTTATACATTAGGTCTTCTGATGTGATTAACATCTTTCTGGGGCCTCTCTGGTTTATCAGAAATTGTTTATCTTCATTTATCTTGATGAGACAATCCCATTTACTATGGCAATATCAAAAAGTGTAGACATCTTGGTGGTGAATTTTTCTTCATAGCTGTGTTGAGTAGCTAGTTTTCTACTTTTGTGCTTAGACACTTGAACATGTTGCTTGTGAATACTCTTTAGTTTAGCAACTACATGAGGCTTTGCTATAGTTGGAATATTAGCCTTAAGCCAGAAAATCATAACTTCATCTGCAACTGTGTTGCAGGATGTTGAAAAAGTTAACTTTTTGACTATCATTTCATAAAAAACTCTACTGCAACACCACTTGTTGGCAACTGACTCGGTCCATCTATTGTGGAGAGAATATGTCCAACTAGCCAAACATTTGAAGTTGAGCGTGTTGCTTTGTTTGAAGCAGCCATCTTCTTATGTAATATTTTTATACTTTTTTACTATAATAGAAAGAATATGACAGAAATTTAACAATTACAAAGTGCTCAAAGCATAATAAAAAAATTAAAAGTCTTAGATAATACACCCGCCCCCCATTTATTCCTAACCCTTTCCGACCCAAATGTGGCCAAACATGTCATTACTATTATTAAATTTATACAAATTTAATTTCTGAGCTAAAGTTTACTTAGAAAAAGTTTACTTAATTATAGCAAATAAAATGTTTTTGAAATCAAAATTGGCATTTAGGAGCGATTTTGGGTAAATGCTGAGGGGGGTTAATCTAAATTTTCTTGTACTTTCCAGTCTTCTGTGAACTTCTATGTTGTAACATTATAATAATTTATATTATTTGTTTTTAGATCAATTTATAGCAGTATTTTCTATGAAATAAAAATAGAATTACAAGATTAAGTTTTTATACAAGTTTTGGTCAATTTAGGGTTCCAAAATAGGGTTTGGGGGACCACTTCCCATTTTCAGTTTGCAAAAAAATTTTAACTATATACTTTTTATAACAGACCTCACCAAATAAGAGGTTGTGTGATTTAAAATTTGAAAAAAAAAATTTTCCATATAAAAAAAAACCACCCTAATATATATATATATATATATATATATATATATATATATATATATATATATATATATATATATATATATATATATATATATATATATATATATATATATATATATATATATATATATATGTATATATATATAGGACATAAAGAAATTGGATATTTCTGCACTAATCAAAGAGACTGTTATCAACTCGACTCTACTCCAGCATGTATCAGATAATTTGAATACGGGACGCAGTTTTGTTCAATCAGTTAAGTCTGGAAAGTCTTTAACAGAAGCCTCATTACTAGAATTATTAGAAAATGTTGCTGAATTGCGAACAACTTTGACAATATCAGCTCAAATATTGTGTACCTGGTTTCTTGGAGAAACTTTTAATGAAATAAAAATTAAAGGAAATTTTGAAAACTTTTTAGCTACACTAACAAAATTTATTATTATGTGTAAAGACAGTCAACCATACTTTTATTTCTTTAAACAAATTGTTCAAAACTATGGGATTCAAAGTTTGAAAGAGATTGTGATGAAGTTAGAAGTTAACTGGTTTCATAATCAAAATGAAAGCTTTGTAAGCACCATCTTGATTTTTTATGGTTTTATTTTTAACATCACAGTTATGATTTACATTATTCATTAAAATTTTTTTTTTTTTTTTTTTTTTTTTTTTTTTTTACTTTATCTTTTAAATTAAAGTTTTAAGTTAAAATGTTTTTATTGTTTTTATTAAAATGTTATTATTTTATTTGTATTGTTTTTATATGTTTATATTTTAATATATATATTGTAGCGTAGTGAATTTAATAGTTTATAATTAATTCTAAGCCAACATAAAAGTCTTTATTCTTCATATAATAATATGTAAGCTAAAATATACAAATAGCCTAATTTTAGTAAAAAAACATAATAAGAAAATAGATAATAATATTTAAATGTATAATAATAATTATTATTATACAGCACATTCTAATAAAACAATATAGTTAAATAAGTTCAAATAGTTCAAATATAGTCATTTATATATTTAGGAGGATTCCAGGGATTTTTATGAACAACAAGGGACTGATTTTTCAATAGAAAATGTAGTAGGATTTGTTGGAGAGAAAGTAGAAAAGTTTTGAGATCTTTTAGCATAGAGAGGCTCAGGTAAAGGGATTGTATCAGGTTCATTAGAAATATCTTTATAGTTATTATTTCTGTCATTATTATTAGTTTTATCAGCCATTGGTGCAAGATGTCTTGTAGCAACATTCTTACATGAGAATAATTACTATTTGTCTCAAAAAAGCTCAATCTTTTCAACCAGAGGTTCATATTTGCTGTGTCGAATATGCCTTTTTAGCAATACAGGACCAGATTAGTTAATCTCAGTATGTTATCCATATAGGAACAGAGTGTTCATTAGAGGAGCGTAGACTGAAACTGAATTATTGTTCATGAGGTGTTGCGTTTGTAGAAGTGCATAGTTAGGAACGCATTGAATGAAGGACATTAGGTAATATATGTTCCCAGCTTATGGTAAGTAAATTCTTTGATTTGAGAGCAAGGAAAGGTCCTTTCTAAATAATACCATTGTATCTCTCTCATTGACCATTGATGATTATAAGGAGTAGTTCTACTCAGGTTAACCCTTCAAGAATTAAGAAAATTGTGTAGCTCTGTTGACATGAAGCAAGTGCCTAGATATGAATATATATAAGCTGGCATACCAAATAAAGTAAAAATTTGAGTTAAACATTTAAGTACAAATGAAGTAGAGATATCACGACATGGAAATGCAAAGGAAAATCTTAAAAACTCATCAAAACTGTAAAAATATTTTTGTTGCAAGATGAAGAGGGAATAGGTCCTTTAAAATCCATGCTTAGTCACTCAAAAGGTTGAGTAGATTTTATTTAGAAGTTGCTTACATAGTATTTAGGTTTTAATTCACCACAAGTTTGACACTAAGAAATGTTTTTTTTTTACATCATCAATTGAAAATGGCAGATTTTTTGATTTTATAAAATGTTACATTCTGGTAATTCTAGGATACTTTCATCAATAGCTTGATTGAGGTACTTTCATCAATTGCTTGATAGCTGATTGAGAGATAAATTCTTTAATTTCATTGAAACATTTAATAGCTTCAGTTGATGATGGAAAGGTAGAAGTTAAAGATAAAGAATAAATTTTGTCAGAAAAATGTTTAATATATTGGTAATAATATGAGAACATGCCAAGAACTCAATGGAGAGAATCACTATCAGTGAGAGCAGGCATTTCAATTAATGGCTTTAAGCAATCTGGATTAGGAGAAAAAGAGCCACTTTTTATAATAAAACCTAGAAAGTTTATACACAAAGTAGACAATATAGACCAGTGGTTCCCAACCTTTTCTAACCCGTTCCCCAAATTAAATATCCTAAAATCTTCATGGACCCCTTTGATTTTAAAAATTATTACAAGGTGAACATTTTAATAATGTAACTTTTATTCATAAGGGTAATATTTTATTTAAGGTATTTTTGAATAGACTAGACACAAAATCAATATTTATCAATGACACAAAAATTTTTTATCTTAGTTTATGTATGATACAAGAACAGATCAGTGTGAATTCTGACACTGCTTACTAGCAATTAATATCTGAAAATTTGGTTTAGTTTTTGATAGAGCACATCTAATATCTGCATCAATATCAAGTCTATTTCTTTTTTTTGTTTTAAGAGATAGCATTGCTGAAAACCCGGCTTCACACAAATATGATGTTGAAAAAGGAATAAGGGCTTTAAGTGCAATTGATGAACACAATGGATATGAATTCCTCATTTTTAACCAGAAGTTATTTAATGGTGCTACTTTGAAGTGATCCTTAGCCGTGGTATCATTCTTTAACTCTATAAACTCTTCTTGTGCTTCCTCTTTCAAATTTTTCACATCACAAGAAAATGGTGATATTTATAACTTCACTGCTCAAAAGATTCATATCTGGAAAATAGTTACCAAATTCAGTAATCAAATTATCTAGGTGACAAACTATTTCTGTCTTTATAACTTCAGGAAGCATGTTAACTCCAATTATGTTATTTAAATTTTGAAACATGATCAAGTTTCCATTATTAATTCTAGTCTTGTACAGTTTGAGCTTTTCAATAAATGCCTTCAGTTTATCTGAATGTGTAATAACATTAGCATTTTTGCCTTGAAGTTGCAAATTTAACTTGTTAAAATGACCTACGATGTCCACAAGATAAGCAGTTGTTATTTCAAAATTATCAAATTCAAAATATTCTACCAGTCCACTTTTCATTTGACATAAAAATTCTTTCACTTCATTTCTAAGTATGAAAAATCTTTCCAAAAAATTTCCAGCAGATAGCCATTGCACAGAAGTATAAAACAATAACTTATTGTGTTCAGCATTTAGGTCAGAGCAAAGTTTTGTAAAAAGGCGAGTGTTAAGAGCAGAAGATTTTATATAATTGACCAACTTGACTAATTGATTAAATACAGTTTTCAAACTACCTGGTAAAGTTTTGGTTGCCAAAGCCTGTCTATGAATAAAACAGTGTACACCAACTACATTTGGAGCAATCTCTTTCACCCTAGTCTGTAATCCAGACTTACAACCCATCATGGCAGGAGCTCCATCAGTAGTAATTCCAAACAAATATTTCCATTGTAATTGATTGTCATTGAAAAACTGTTTTAAAATTTCCATAATATTAGCTGCTTTTGTTGTTGTTTCAAGGCAAGAAGAAAACAAAAATTCTTCTTTAAATTTGTTATTGTGAATATACCTACAATATACAATTAGTTGTGCCATTGAACTTACATCTGTGGACTCATCCAACTGAATAGAAAAATATGGGGATTCTTTAATTTCATTAATAACATTTTCTTTAATGTTTGATGAAATATCCGTTAGCCTTCGTTTGACTGTAGTATTTGATAAAGATATATTATCTACCTTCTTTGCAGCTTCTTCTCCAAATAATAATCTAACGATTTCTTTTGTACATGGAAGTATAACTTCTTCAGCCGATGTGTGAGCTTTTTTGTTCTGTGCTATTATATATGAAACCTTATAGGATGCTTCTACTATATTCTGTTGAATTTGGTAAATAATCCCAGTTTTATCCAATTTGCATCTCTTCAGTGATTCAAATTTTCTTTTGAAAAAATCAGTATCTTTTGTTTGGAGATCAGGATGGCACTTATTCAAGTGAATAGCAAGCTTTGAAGGTTTCATTGAGTCATTTCCTAGTACTTTATAACAAATAACACACTGTGGGTAGCTAATGGTTTCTTTAAGCATGTATGTAAATCCATATCTCATGTATTCATCTAAGTATGACCTTTTTTTACTTTTAGACATCTAAAGTATTTAAAAAATAATATAAAAAGCATCTATAGATAAGAGTAGTATAGTATCGAATTTTTATAGAAAATAACACAAATTACGTTCTTTTAAACAAATCAGTAAGGTTATCTTTACCATGAGATAAGATTTTAACATTTTAAATTTACGGATAAAAAATGATATTATATAGCATTTATTACTTCGTAGAGGTCCGCAAGTCCTCGTCGAATTAGTTAACGCAAATTTTGTGTAACAGCTTTCTCGCATAAATTACATTTTTAATTTAAAATTTAATTTGTTTCTTTCAACAGAAAAAAATAATCAAAATTAAGTTTCACTACCAAAAAATATTTAGAATTTACGTTTATCTTGTGGTCCGCTTAAAAAGTTCTTATGGACCCCCAGGGGTCCATGGACCACCGGTTGGGAACCACTGATATAGACTTTTCTTCTTTGAATGTAAACGTTGCTTTCTTAAAAGCTTAGAGAAATTTATCTAAATTGAAATCATTTTTATTTTTAGAAATACCACATACAAGCAAGTTATCTAGATATACAAAGGTGACTTCTAATTTGTTTTCTTGAATAAAATTATCCATGATTCTTTGAAATTGTGTGACAGCATTAGTGAGGCCAAATAAAATTCTTTTAAATTGGAAAAGATGTCCATTGGACTCAAAGGCAGTATAATACTTGTCACTTTCTTGGAGAAGTATTTGGGGATAAGCACTTTTTGAATCAAATGTACTAAATAATCAATATTTTGCAACGGAGTTAACTAGTTTATTGATTTTAGGTAAAGAATGATCAATGTAAAGCAATTTCTTGTTTCTGAGTTATCAATGACCATCCATTTCTTATGCCTCACTTTTCTGGTAACAATGATTTTTGATCACCAAGGAGAGTTATTAGGTTTAATTATATCTAGTTCCAAATGTTTTTTTGTTTCTTGTTCAATGAATGCTTTGACTTCTGAGTTGTATTATCTAGAAGGTGAAGCAATTAGTCAACATTATGGAGAAAGAAAAGGGAAAATTGTAACACTTGTTAGAGAACAGATTTTTAAAGAATCAGATGTAAAAGATATAGAATATTTTTTAAAGAATAAAGATCTAAACAATAGAGTTAAGTGAGTTGATAGAAGAGCAAGTAATCTAGGCTAAACTTGGTGCATGGAAGTTAGCTCTAGAAAAAACTCATCAACTGATTCTGCAAAAACTCATCAA